TCTGTTGTCCAGCCAACATTTATGGAGCGCCTCCTGTGGACCAGGTACTGTTGTTACAGGAATACTTTTGCTTTGAGCAGGTGGCATGTGTGTGCCTTTGCATAAAGACCCCAATCTTAAAAAGCCTACATCCATGCAATGGAATATCACTCAGCTATAAAAAAGAATGAAGGCTTGACACACGTTGCAATGCAGATGAACCCTGACAACATCATGCTGACTGAGAGAAGTGACATCCAGCAGGTCACATATTTTATTATTCCATTTATATGAAATGTCCAGAACAGACAAATCCGTAGGGACAGAAAGTACATTGATACTTACCAGAGGGCTGGGAGCAGAGGGAATGGGGAGTGACCGCTAATGGGCACAAGGTCTGAAAATGTTCTAGAACTAGACAGAGGTGATGATTGCACAGTAATGTGAATATACTTAAAGCCACTGGATCGCACAGTTTAAAATAGTAAATTTTATGTTCTGTGCATTTTACCACAATGAAAAATGGAAATGAGAGGGGACAAGAGCTTAAAGCAGTCAGCCCCTGCCCCTCTTCCTTCCCACAGTCCCAGTTGCTCAGGGCTGACAATAGGTTGCATGGGGCAGAGGGCCTGTAAGTCCACCAAGGGTCCTACGTGTGTGTGGTGTGTGTGTTTGCGTATCTCTGAGGGTGGGTCTCAGTCTGGTGGGGGGACAAACAGGGGGCATGCTGGTACTTTCAGCAAAATTACCAAAGAGGGAAAGGGAATGAGTGGAGGATGAGGCAAGACCCCGGGGAAGCAAGTCCACACAAATGTGTCAGTTCTTGTGTGTGTGGATCCAGCCTGCTGGTCTGTAGGTGGGTGAGCAGTGGCCCCAGGGGCCAGTGCAACACACTGGGAAGCTCTGTTTACTCTCTGACTCTTCATCCCAGAGGAGGGACAGAGGTCAGGAATCACACTAGTGTGTCTGCAGGACAGGCTGGTGTGACAGTGTTGTGGCTGATTCTGGGGTCTGGGTGTGGTTGTGTGACATGCACAGAAGCCGGGAGCTTGGCCTTCCCAAGTCCAGCATTCAAACCCCTTTCCACCTCTCCTAACAAAGTGACTGACTCTGGGCCAGCCACTTTGTTTTCCTGTGCCCCAGCTTTCCTGTCTGAAATGGGGAGAATTAAGAGTCCTCACCGTACAGGATGGCTAGGAGAATGAGAGGGGAAATAAATACACAAGATGGGGGCTGCTATCGTGCTGCTGCCCACTTTCCAGCGGGGGAAACTGAGGCTCAGGGGAAACAGTATGGGTCAAGGGGGTGCTCAGGTCTGTGGCCTCAGAGCCAAGATGACTCCCACCCCAACTTCCCCCACCCCTCCACTTCATTTCCTCCCCAACCCCTGGGCCTCCTGGCTGGTGCCAGGGCTGAGCTTAGAGGGGCTGGCCTGGGGCCCAGGGGTGGGCTGTTGCCCGGGGCTTGAATGAGGCAACCTTGCCTGGGAATCTGCTGGGCTCAAAGAGCTATTTTATTTATAGACCTGCACTGGGATTGGGTGAGCCACCCCCAAGCCCTGAGTGCCTTTCTCTGTCCCTGCTCTGCACGGGGGCCCCAGGCCAGGGACTGCTGTGAGTGGGTGGAGGGAGCAAGGGAAAGGGGCTGATGGGCCAGAGCAGGCTGGATCCTCCAGAAGAGCTTGGTCTCAGAGGAGGACAGTGTCCCCAAAGTGCCTCTCAATATACTCAAGGTGACACACAGATACAGCACATGCAACCAGACTCACATCTGGGGTTTTTTTTAAAGATTTTATTTATTTATTTTTAGAAAGGGGGAAAGGGAGGTAGAAAGAGAGGGAGAGAAACATCATTTGGTTGCCTCTCACACGCTCCCAACTGGGTGCCTAGCCTGCAACCCAGGTATGTGCCCTGACCAGGAATCAAACTGGCTACCCCTCATCTTGCAGGACTGAGCCACACCAGTCAGGGGGAAATTTATAGCTGTCTTATACAATGTCACAAACAACCATGACACACAGTCACATCCTAGACACACAATGACTGCAAAGGGGGCTCATATATGACCATACTTGGCAAGATGACATATAAGTCAAATAGACCACAGACAACCTCTCATTGCCATACACAAGCTACACCTGCTGCACAAACTCACAACTGTGAGTCTGGCCCACTTAGAGTCCCCTCGCATTTAAACACCTACTGCTGTTCACACACCCCTGTACCTCAGCCTTCCTGGCTGCCACGAACAGCCCACATTTGCCCCATGTTGTTCACACCCAGGCATGCTTGCAGACATGGGCACACCTACAGATAGCCAGCACCCGGTCACGATCATCTGGCACCGCATCACCAGCACGGAGACACATGATCTTCCCAGGGTCACACTCAGCGAAGCCACTCATGCTCACCACTCAACACACCTGGACATGGCCCAGGGTGTTCCCATATGAGGTCACCTCAGTCCCTTCATTCTCGGTCACCCTCCCACTCCCACTGTTACCCCCACTTACCCAGACTCCCAGGCTCACATCCTGCCAGGATCGACAAGTCCAGTTGGCACTGAGGGAGTGTCCATCTATTCTGAGCCAGCCCTGCTAGCCCCAGGCAGGACCCAGTGAATAAATCAGACCCAGACTTGTCCCTAGGGGGCTTCTGGCCAGGGGACCCCATCACACTCACCCTTGAAGACCCTCCAGGTTGGGGCCTTGGGACAACCTATTCCCCAGGGGAAACCAAGGCTCAAAGCTACTTAAGCTTCTTTCCCTGCCCTGCTCCAGGATGACAAACTCATGGGAAGCGCGACCTATTTTCTGCTGTGAGTGGGGCTGCCTTCCCAGAGAGTCCCTGCTGACCCATACTTGCTGTGTGATTTCAGCAAATCCCTGACTTTCTCTGAGCCTCCATTTCCTCTCCTGGAAAAATGTAGAACTCAGCCCAGTGAAGGGAGCTCCAGAGTAAGACCGGGGTTTGAATCCTGGTCCCCTTAGGTGACCTTAGCCAAATGATTTTGTTTTTCTGTGCCACAGTTTCCCTCGGTGAAACAGAATTGCAGCTTCTTGTTGTTCTAGAGTACCCTCCACTCCATCCCTAGGGTGAGGGGGGAGAGAGTGCCCAGTCTCTCCTCACTCAGGCAAATGAATGGATCACTTCTGGCTGCCCTGATGGGAGCTTACAGCTGGTAATTCCTTGGAGAAACAGGAGGCTCTTTCATGCCCAGGCGCCACTGGGGTGAGGAGTTGGGAAAAGGATATGAGCTGGCTTCACCCCAGTGGGCGAGGCGGCTCCAAGCCAAGGCTAGGAGTGGTGTGGAGGGCCCTGGGACAAGCATATCCTCCCTGGGGGACCTTGGCCCAAGTGGCTGTACAGTCAGATGTAAAATGTAGGTAACACAGACCAGCACAGCCATTTTAATAAGCCAGTGGATGGAGACAAAACATGGTTTTAAGTTAAACACAGGGTGAGCTCTCAACAAAGGTCAGCATTGTTGTCATGTGTCATCCTAAAGAGCCCATTAAATTCTCCAGCAGTTCTAGAAATAGAATTCCCTCTAGTTTGCAGATTTAAAATAACACTCAGATGCTCACATGGTTGTCCATGATCACACAGGTAGTGAATGGCCCAGCCGGGATTTAAACTGTATCTGGGTCCTCTGGGACCTGTGCTCTTCCTAACTTCCTCTGGTGGATTGGAAGCATTTTCTGCCACGTCTATCCCTGATCCTGAGACCAGCAGAGCCAGGTGTGGATGGCACCAGGTCATAACTGAATGCAGGCAGTTCTGGCAGGCAGGGGCTGATGGGGCAGCTCTTCCGCTAGTGTCCCAGTTTCCCAGCCAGCACCGCCTCTTAGAGCAGGCTTGAGCAGACACTAGTAGGGTGCCAGGAGGACCATTCCCTCAGCCCTTGAAGAAAGGGGCTGGGTCCTGGATCATTCAGCGGAAGCCAGGAACTACAGCCTCCTGGCAGTGGCTGATCTGTCTCAGAACCCTCCATTCATGCAGATCGGATGGTGTCCTGCCCTTTCTCAAACACTTTCCGTGACTGCTCCAGGCTCGGCTCAGGAGGATCTGGCTCCACATATTTTATTCAAATTCATGGTCTTTCACCCAACCAGGCTTTTGGTTATGCTGTTTTCTCTGCTTGGACCCCATAAAGCCCCAGATTTTTCTCACCCTGGTGCAGCCACAATGTCTCCTCTCCCAGGAAGCCTTTCAACACCAGCTACCCAAGCACTATCTCTTTCCCTGGCTCTGCCATGGCCCCATGGGGCTGGGAGTGGGTGTGTATAGCTCTGTATTACCCAGATTGGGGGCTCATCACGTGTGGGGTTGGAACTGAGGCCTCTCACAGTCTGCAGCACCATCCAACACAGGGCTGGGAAGTAGAGAGTGTCAGGAGTTTTTAGTGTGAATCAGTGAACCAGATCTTTAGCCTGGTATCTGAGACTTTCTGTACTCCGATTTGGCAAACTCCTGTTCATCCTTCAAAATCCACTTCACAAGCCCCCTCCTCCAAAAAGCCCACCCCAGGCAGCATTTACTGGAAAGACAGTTTGAAGGTTGGGCCACACGAGACTGATGAAGACTCCTTGTAAACATCAATCAGTCCCCTCGTATGTTCGTCGTTTTTTGGTGAGAGAGAGGGGAAGGGAGGGAAATAGAGAGGGAGAAAAACAGCAAAACATCAATCGGTTGCCTTTCTCACGTCTCCAACCAGAAACCTGGCCCGCAACCTAGGCATGTGCCCTGAGCTGAAATTGAATCGTGGTCTTTTGGCTCTCAGGCCAGCATTCAATCCACTGAGCGACATCAGTCAGCATTGAACTCGCAACCTGCTGAAGGACGGGAAGACATTCTAACTGAGTAAACCCGACCAGGGCCACAAATACTCGCTTTTAGGTACCAGCCTTCTTAAGTCAAACACTGGACTAGGGCCCTTTAAGAGGCGGGCACTGAGGGGCGGGGCACAGTTCAAACCCCGCCCCGGGAAGACGCTGCCTGAGTCACATTGCTTCTGCGCAATGTGTCCATGCGGTTCCGGGTGTACGTTTTGGTTCTCCCTTCCCGGAGAAACTGAGGCTCGGATCCGAGGCGACCGCCCGAAACGCACAGGACACCTGGCCTCTGGTCATTGGCATTTTCCCCGAAACCCCCAATTTTCCGGCAAGGGATTAACCTAGGGGACATTTAGGACTGGAGTGGGTGGGGCGGTGAGGGTTCCTGTTTGGTGTTTCAGGTGAGGACGTTCAAACTCTGAGGACAAGTTCTCGCTGTTCGGCTGCATCGGAGCGCAGCTCTGAGCCGTGAGATCTTGTGGAGCTGAAATGACCCACTCTTTGGTTTGTGCAGACACAGTGAGCAGGTGAGGGCCCAGGGCGGTGGGGGCGGGCAGTGGCAGTACCCTCCTGGTCTTGGGATTTGAGCTGTCTGTGGACAGAGCTCTGGGTTTGTGGAGCCGGTGCTGGGTTCAGTCCCTCTCCTCGCGGTGGTTCTGGTCCCTCCAGGGTGAGTTCGGTGCTGAATCGCAACACGCGACAGTTTGGAAAGAAGCATCTGTTCGACCAGAACGAGGAGACGTGCTGGAACTCGGACCAGGTGAGGAACCTCCCTGGACCCTCTACCCATCGTGTGAATCAGATTCAGGGGTCCAAGGTGCTTTGGGAACTAGAGCACCACAGCTGGGCTCAGTTGGTTTGGTCAGGGGGGACCAGGTGCTGAATCCTTCCACCACCAATGGACTATTTGAAAGAATGCACTAGTGTTGCCTTCAGCCTTGAGTGACCAGGCGGCTGTTTGTCCGCTTCCAGGGCCCCTTCCAGTGGGTGATACTAGAGTTTCCTCAGCGCATCCGTGTCTCCCAGCTGCAGATCCAGTTCCAGGGGGGCTTCTCCAGTCGCCGGGGCTGCCTGGAAGGTACTGGAAGGCCCTAGTAGGGGGGCGGAGAGAGGAGGGTGGAGGGGGCAACAAGGCTTCACAGTCTGCTCCTTTCCCTGCTGCAGGTTCTCTGGAGAAAGAGGCTCTCAGTAAGATTGTGGACTTCTACCCTGAGGACAACAACTCAATTCAGATATCCTGCCCTGGCTTCTGGAGTAGGGATGGTCTATGCCTCTGAAAGCTGCAGGCCCTGCCTATGAGCTTGAGCAAGTGGCCTCTAGGCCTGCCTTACTTCATCTGTGAAGTGGGCTAATGGTAACCTGCTCTGTGAGTCTCACAGGGGCCCACAGCTTGGTGTCTGAGCTGGGACTGGGTGGGGCTTGGCAGACAGTCTAACCACAAACCACCTGTTTCCCTTGACTGCTGTGCTCACACCTTCCCTGTGCCAGCTGCTGAGGTAGATCAGCTAAAGGTAACATTTGAGGATGCCACTGACTTTTTTGGCCGTGTGGTTATCTACCACTTGCGAGTGCTGGGGGAGAAGATATGAAGCCAGGGGGCAGCTGCCCCCTCCAGGAAACCCTCATGGAAGCACAGCAAAGTCTTTCCAAGTTCTGCAAAGGTTTATTGATTTCTCCTGGCAAGGACCCTCTTCCACCATCTGTCCAGGAGCTGCCTTTGAAGCCAGTTCTGGGTTCCCCCAACTCTGGGTCGACCCTCTTGTTCCCTGAGTGTCTGAGTCCCTGGGGGACAGGTGATGTTCTTCACTCAGGGTCATCGGGCACCAGGTTACTTTGGAAGAGTTTGAGGATGTGGTTCTCAATCACCTGTTGCACTGGAAAGAGGACAAGGGAAAGGAGGGCCATAAATGGAATTGGGGCTGCAGAGGCACCAGACCCACCTGCGCCCTCGCTTCATGGGTTGAGCCAGAGAGGTCCTGCCCCGAGAACTGCACCCTTACCCGCCGAGGCCTCTCTGTGTTGGGACATGGATGGAGGACCCATTTTATACATGGGTAAATCCACACCCCTTCCGGGACACAGCTGGGAAGATGGAGGTCTCTATTCCCAGAACCTCAATTTCCCCCAAGTTTATAAAAATGTGTTTTTGGAGGCATTTCAGAGTTATTGGTAGGTTGCAAAATTTACAAAAGGACAAGAAGGGCTATGAGGATTAATGTCCCAAACAGAGGCCTCCTTGAAGCAAAGAGGGGATATTTCCCAAGACCTCAATTCCCTCCACAACCCCAGGGGGTTGGTTGTTACGATAACCCTGTTTCATGCGTGGTGAAGTGAAGGGAGAAAAGGGGAATCAAACTGGGATCTCTGTTTACACCCATCTTCTGCCTCAGAGAGGGTGGCCTCAAAGCCCTGTGTGGCCAGGCCCCCTTCCTCTGGGTGTCCTCACTCAGCCAGGCCTCTGCATGTGCTGTTCCTCCAGCCTGGACAATCCTTCCCTTGGGTCCTCAGGAAGCCCTCCCTCATTACCATCCATCCTGAGGTGGGGTCAGGGTCTCCTTTGGGCCTCTCAATGCCTGAGTGCCCCACATCATGACCCCAGTTACTGATACACATTGGCTTCCACCCCCAGCTCATGGGTAGCCCTCTGAGAACCAGGCCTAGCACATACCCAGGCCAGGTACACAGGGGCACTCAATGTTTGCTAACAGACTCCTGTTGCCAGCATCTGACATCCAAGAGGAATGCCCTGTGTATCCTGTGTGGCTACCCCACCTATAGCAAACTGTCACTGCCACATGTCAGGCTGACCTTTCCGGTATCCCAGAGCCACGGCGAGGTCCATAGGGGTGTAGCCAGAGTCAGCCTCAGTGGTGAGATCAGCTCCCCGGGCTACAAAGCAGAGAAGATTCTGCAAGGGGGGACTGGAAGCCCAGAATGGGGCACAGACTCTGGAGATCCAGTGACCACCAATAATGCAGCCCCAGGTCTACCAGTTGGCGGTGTGGCCTTGGACAAGAGTCTGTTCTCTGGAGATCCAAGGCCAGACCCCTCAGGATTCCTGCAGTGCCAGCTAGGGCTCTGGGCCCCCAGGGCCAGCCTCTAATCCCACTCACCCAGCAAGGCCTCCACACACTTCACGTGGTTCCCACGCACAGCATACAGCAGTGGCGTCCCTCCATTCTGTCAGGGCCAGGAGCAATCATCACTCTACTGGATTCTCATATCATCCAGCACACTCCAATTTAATGTTGTTCCTTTTGTCACCTGGCCTGTCTTAACTCCTTTGGGACTCAACTTAGATGTTCCTCTTCCAGGTAGTCCTCCCTGACCTCCCTTGGTTGTGTAGGCTGCCTCTGCTCTTGCAGCAGCCTATGTGCCTGCCATCATAGCTACATCTCAGCTGACTGTTTATGTACTGGCTCCTCACCATCCCCTAAAAATACTAAGAGCTCTATGAAGCTTGGGGATGAGCCTGTCTTGTGTTCTTAGCAGAGCAGGCCTGGTACTCTGCAAGGAGCCCAGGGCTGGCAGGTGGTGGTGCCTCACCCAGTCATAGATGTTGATGTCCACATCACGTTCGAGCAGCAGCCCTACAATGTCTGTGTAGCCACCTGTGCTTGCCAGTGACAGGGCACTCTCCCGCTCCTTGGCCAGGATGTGGGGGTCAGCACCCTGGGGGAAGCAGAGGTGGCAGTGACAGGAGGGGGAATAGAGGGAATGGTGATGGGAGGAGGAGGAGAATCCCCTGGCATCCTGAGGTCCCCCACGGCAGCTGAGACTTGGCCCACCCTCAAGTCCCTGGAAGCCCCCAGCTGGACAGGGACGCACCCACTCAAGCAAGAAGCGGACGGTCTCGATTTCTCCAAAGGCAGAGGCCCAGATGAGGGGGGTGAAGCCACGCTCGTCCGGCTTGTTGATGAGGTTGTCGCCTGGCAGGAAGGGTTGGTACCACTGGGCTGCACCCCGGCCCACTATCCCCAAAGCTGTGGGAGTGGGGATCGCATGGGCTAGCTGAGGCCAGATGGGGGGACACATGTGGATACACACAAGTGGCTGCACTTGTACACACGTGTAGACAAAGACATGCACACTTACAGGTCATGACAGCACCCACATGCACACACCAGCACACGAGGTCAGACAAAGACGGATACCAGTGCATGGATGTAGACACATACCTTTCCTCAGATGCTCCTTCAGTTGGCTCAGCTCTCCCTGGGCTGCAAGCTGGTGGATGGACAGGGCTGGGGCCAGAGAGAGGCAGTGTTCTCACCTGTCCCATCCCTGCTCTGTGCCTTAGTTTACTTCATGTCCCAAGATGCTTCTCTAGGCCCAGCCACCCTGCCACTCCACACCCTGTTGGAGACGAGGGCCACTCACAGTCCAGGGTGGCCGGCAGGGCTGAGATCTCATTCCCCCGCTGCCGGTTGGTGAGGGTTGTGGAGTGCTTCAAGGAGCTGCCTGGTGGGAGAGAGAGAAAGGGTTCTGGGTCTCCAAGACAGACCATGCTACCAAAGACACAGTGCCACTCCATCACTCTCCTCTGATGCTACTAGAACTGAGCCCTGAGAAGCTGGAAGCTGCAAGACCCACTGCCCACGCTGGGTATGTCCCCATAGACATCAACAGGTCATTTGAAAACCTGAAGAAGTTGGAGACTCTTGCTCCTTAGAAAAACGCAACTCTCAAGAGTACCCTGAGTAGGTGCCTGGGCCCTGCCTGTCACCAAAGATGTTAAATAAGTTATGGGGCAAGGCCATCAGGTCTCCTGAGATACTGGTAGCTTTGGGGTTTTGCTGCTTGTGTGGAAGTCACACCCCAGGTTTCTGAGGAGTAGCCCAGGTAAAATTTCCTTTTAGGATGATGGGAATATCCTAAAATTATAAACAGAGGTTGGGGTTACACACTACTGTGTATGTACTTACTGCCACAGAATTGTATGCGATTACAGTCAAAATGGTAACTTTTATGTTACATGGATTTTACTACAATAAAAACAAATAAGCAATCCTTCACCGGGTGGAGCTGGAAGATATGTATGTCCTAGATACTGGGCCATAAAGACAAAGGCCCACATCCAGGACCTGACATTCCACAGGGTCCTGACATTCCACAGTCTTTGTGTCTCAGAGGCTGGGGCCCAGGGCAAGTACCTACCCTGAGGTGATGAGGCACCAGCATCTGGTTCAGGATTCCCAGGTTCTGGGGTGCAGGGAAAGAGACTGAGCACCACTGTGTCTGAGCCATCTGGGGCCTCATCGCTAGGGTCTTCAGGGTCCCCAAATTCTAGGATGGGGGGCTGCTGAATCAGGCTGAGATCCTCTGCAGGCTGGGAGGACTCCATGGGGGAAGCTGGAAGCAACAAAAGGGGAGATAACAATAATTATTAAAACTCTTGTTAAATTGGCACCAACTGCATAATCAGCCTTGCACAGTGAGGGTGGGTAAATTCAAGCTCCACCAGGAAATTAAATCAGAATCCAGTTGCTTTGCAGGCCCACTGCACCCCATCACCAGGACACATACAACAAGCATTGTTTAAAAGCCTTGGTTCTGGGGTCACTATCTGGGATGGAATCCTTGCACTTACAGGCTGTTAAGAACTTGCACATGCCTTAACTACTCTGAACCTGTTTCCTCATTAATAAAATGGGGAAATAAGGTATAAAAGAACTCATGTCTGTACATAGCTGGACGGGGTGCCTGAAACACCGCAGAGCTTAATAAACGTTGTAGTTATTTTTTGGAGAGTGGTCCCCTAACGACTGAGGGCTCAACAAAGATGTAATCGGTTCCATCCCACTCGCGCCTCCCAAGGCGATCCGGGAGGTCCACTCACCTCCAAAGAGCTTTCTGTCACCCCACGTCACAAGCCCAGGTCCCCCAAAACTTGGAGGCCTAATTCACAAACTTTTCTCCTCCAACTGAGGCACTGGGGAGCAAGCTGGAGAGTGGAGCCTGGGCGCCCTGGTTTTTCTGCCGGGACAGAGAGCAACTTGATACGCGACCACTACCCCCGCCCCAAAGCTTCCCCACTGCGCCTGCGCACCCCGCCCCCCAAAAGTGCGGAAGGGCAGGAGCAATAGAAACTACTTCTGGCCCTTTAAGAGCTGGGGGAGGGGCGTGCTTTCCGCTAGGGGCCCGACCATTGCAATAGCGCCTGCGCATTTTACACTCCGACGCTCCGGTTGAGGGGGCCAGCTGGTTGGGGGGGGTGGAGGGAGGGGAGAGGGGGCAGAGCCTCAGATGGCTCTGAGGATCTCAATGCGGCTGTATTCCATCACCCGCCCCGGCTCCGCCCATAGTTTTTTGGAAGCCAATCGGCTTCAGTACCGGGCTGATGGGGCAGCCCTCTCTCCCATCCGAAGGCGGGGGCTAGGAAGCAGACTGGGCATCCGGGACTTAAAGGGGCAACACCATTGTCGTCCAAGTCCCGAACAGTGTTCCTTCTGAGGTCCTGGGGGCTCATGAACATGTGCAGGGATTTGATGGCAGCAGTGGGGTACAAAGAGGCCGTTTATGCGGCCCAAAGGGATTGGTGTGTGGAGCATTCTCCCAAGTCATCCTCCCCAGGAAATGGGGGCTTCAGGAAGGGAGGACGCCGTGGCCTCTCCCCGCTTCGGTGTGGCTTTAGGGGGTCCCTGCTCCCTCCTCACCTACCTACCTGTGTGCCCCCTTGTCCAGTTTCTCACTCACAGCCCCTCTCCTGTCTAAGTAGAGACGGAGGAACAGAGAGGAAAGGCTAATTGGTACTGGAATTGTAGCAGGGCCAAGTCCTGTTCCTCAGGGGAACGTTTAGGCAGCTGTCACCACCTCCAGACTTCCGGTTCCGGTTTTCAGGTTTCACAAGCGGCTGTCGCTATGGAGGAACCCGAGATGCAACTCAAGGGGAAGAAAGGTAATGCGAGGCCCAGGGCAGGGCAGAGGACCCGGGGACTCGCGGAGGGGCAGCCTGATAGAGGGAGGGAGGAAGGGAACGGACAAAGGGAGAGAAAGGACGTGAGGGGCAGAGATTGAACTGCCATCGAATCCTGGTGGCCGCTGACTAGTTTTGGAACCTTCAGAAAGTCCTTGTGCCTCACTTTTGTCATCTGTAAAATGGGGAGTATAATCGCCCTCCCGCCCCTCGTAGGTTTGTGAGAACTCAATGACCTGGTATTTGTACTGCATTGGAAGAAAGCTTGGGATATGGCAGTCACTATGTGTATTGTTGCCATATAGATTTATGCATTTGTGTATGTTTACATTGACTCAAGTGTTTATAAAGCACATAGTTACAAATTACAAAATGCACAAACTTTTTAAGTTATAAAGTTTTTTTGTTATTTTATTGCACATGGTATTTCTAGTTAATTAGTTAGAAGGTACAAGTACATTTAATTCCACCTCTTTTGTAACAACACTGAGCTATTATTACACGCTCATTTGTGAAACAAGGAGGCCTAAGAGGGTAAAAGGTTCTATAATCTATACAGTTTGTTAGATTGTACTTACTTTTTTAAAGAGAGGAGAAAGAAGGGAGAAAGAGAGGGAGCGGAAACATCCATCGATACGTGAGAGATACATTGCTTGGTTGCCTCTCACATGCCCCTAACTGGGGAACCTGGCCATGTGCCAGGCATGTGCCCTGACTGGGAATCGAACCTGTGACCTTTTGGTTTGTAGGCTGGTGCTCAATCCACTGAGCCACACCAGCCAGGGCTATAATCTATACAGTTTGGAGGGGGCAGTCTTGCCCACTGAGTTGTATTCACACTGGATAGACTCATGCACAACCTCCCTTGACTCCCAGACACACCAGGGTTCTCTGTATTGCCAATCACACCGCCCTGGAAAGTAGCATAGATTACATCTCTGTAGCAAACCTGGAGGGTGAATATTGTTTTCATTGCATTTTTACAAATGAAGAAATTGAGGCCCAGAGAAACCCCTGCCCTCACAAATCCAAGCTTTAATTTTTTCCTGTAAACACATAACCTAGTAAAGAACAGAATTACATATAAAAGAAATGAACAAGGTTGTTGTTTTGAGAATGAGGGACATCTGATTAAGCTTGATGACCAGGAGAGGCTTTGCCCAGGAGGTGACAATTCAGCTAAGATAGGAAGAATGAAGACAAGACAGAGGGAAAAAGGGTGTGGCAGTGGCAGTAATAACAGATTCAAAGGCCCTGTGGTGGCAAAGTGCTCAGAGCTGTGCTTTAATATACTAGCTACTGGTCACAGTATTTATGGGTATTTAATTAACATTAGGTAAAGTTAAAAATTTAGTTTCTGAGTGACATTAGTGGCATTTCAAGTGCCCAGTAACCACCTGTGGCTAGTGACTACCATATGGGATAGTATGGACCATAGAACTATTCAGTCATCAGAGAAAGTTCCTGTGGACAGTGCTGTGAGGGTCTGAGTAACAGCCAGGAGGCCATTGTGCCTGGATGGAAGATGAAGAGGACATGGAAGTCCACAGCAGGCAGAACACATAGGACCTTAGGGGTCCATGGTGAGGAAGGCAGGTTTTGTTCTCTGGCTAATGGGAGCCATGGGAAAATCCCAAGCAAGGGAGGGACATATTTGATGTCTTCATTAGTTCATTCCATCTGTTGTATGGAGATGGGACTGCTGTCGGGCGGGGTGAGGGGGAAGCAGGAGGGGCTGAGTCTGTCATCCAGGTGGAAGGCAGCCGTACCTGGACCAGTAAAGTCAGTGCAGTGCTAAGAATGGGTGAAGGTGGGCTTTGTTTTGTGGCAGAACCAGAAGGATCTGCCTATGGACAGCGTGGATGACCAGCTGGTCAGGAATACAGACCCTGGAAAGAGGATTTGGGTGTAATTAACCTACCAGGAGAGCCTCACAAGGGAGAAAGGGAAACAGGACAGGGCGGGGGAGGAGGCTGAGCAAGGAGCAACCTCAGGTAAAATCCTTCAGAGTGAGGCCTCAGCCTTCTTTGGCAAGGGAGTTTAAGGGGATGAGTCACTCCTCTCAACTGTCCCAACAGAGCAAGGGACATGGACTTGCACACCCCTCAATGGTTAATCATGGCTGAAGGCTACACAGAGATAGAAACTTCCAAGCACTTTCAGGTCTAATAACCAGTAGATCCTTTGAGGAGAAATCTCACATTTATTCACTGGGGTAGAAGGAATGCGAGGGGATGCGAGTGGGCAGCAGCAGTGTCCATCACCAGTGGGCTGGGGAGGGGAAAGATCACAAGTTCAATGGACGCATTGACAATACCATGAGTGAGGCCTCTGTGACCATCTTCAGCCTATCACCTGGGCCACAGGTGACCCAGCTGCTGGGGGTGAGGGAGCACCAGACATTCCTCACCACGCTGGCTGGACTTACAGATCGAGCAATCAGGAGTCTTATGCTTTGTCTCTTTGTGTCTGTGCACTCTCTTCCCTTCTTATTCTGCCACCTTCCATGCCCTGACTGTCAATCCTGGACCCAGTTACGGACAAGTTCACTGAGAGCGTCTACGTCCTGGCCAATGAGCCATCTGTGGCCCTGTACCGGCTGCAGGAACATGTGCGCCGCTCTCTGCCAGAGCTGGCCCAGCATAAGGTGAGCTGCATGCACCCCTGCCACCAACTCCCACAGGGCATGCACACTGAGATATAGGGCCTGCTGGTAGAGCAGATGCAAAGACCCCAAGACCTGGTAGCCAGCTGTTCACAGAAAGCCTGGATTTGTGAGGGAGGGGAGGGAGCTGGAGGGGGCCAGTCTCTGCAGCCATGGTGATCAGGTGCTCTCTTCCCAGAGAGCTGGGAAGATACAGGTGGCACCCTTTTCCCCTAACAGTCCCCCACCTCCCACAGGCTGACATGCAGCGGTGGGAGGAGCAGAGCCAAGGAGCCATCTACACAGTGGAGTACGCCTGCAGGTGAGCATCTAGGATCACCTCCTGGGTATTTAGAGGTGTCTCAGCCAGCTCCCTGGTGAGCTCTGTCCTGCCGAGCCCACCCGAATGGGGAGGCATGTGAATCTCAACTCACCTGGCCACATGGGCCAGGAACCTAGCAGGTTCCAGCCTAGGCCTACACTTCTCACTGTTTGCTTAACCCCTGTGTGCCTCCAGCAAGCATCTTCTCAGCGCAGACCCCCTTCCCATCTGTCGTGGGAGGGTGTAATAGGATTGGGAATCATAAAATTTAGCATCTTAACCACCTTTAAGTGTATAGTTCAGTGGCATTAAGTACATTCACATTGGTGTACAACTATCACCACCATCCATCTCCAGAACTTTCCATCTTGCATAATTGAGACCATCTCCATTAAACACTAACGCCTCATCCCTGCTCCTCTAAACCCTGGCAGTCAACATTCTACTTCCTGTTTCTATCATTTGGCTACTCTAGGGCCTCACATGAAAGACAGTATTTGTCTTTTTGTGTCTGTCTTCTTTCATTACGCATAATGTCAAGATTCGTCCATGTTGTAGTATGTGTTGGAATTTTATTCCTTTTTAAGGCTAAGCAAAATTCCACATTTTGTTTATCCATTCATTTGTCAGTGGGCATTTGTGTTGCTTCCACATTTTAGCTATTGTGAATAATACTTCTATGGGTGTAGCATTTATTTTTTTGTTTGTTTAATTTTCTGTATATCGTAAAATTGGTTTTTTGCCCCAAGGGGTAAGATGCCTGAGGCTGGAAAGCCGTAGCTGGTGTTTCTTTGCCTCATGGCAGCTTGGCCCACCTTGTCTCCTGTGCTTTTGTTGATGCCTTCAATGATATTCAATGCCCTGGCTTGTTCCATTACCTCAGGAGTTTGGCCACTTTGTTTATGGTGCCATTTGCCCCTGGCATGACCTATGGGGTCATTTATTGGAGGCTAGACACTCCCAGCACTTCTCATCTGTGGCACCATGGGGTTTGCTTGCCTGTTTCTGTCGTGTGGGTGAAGGTTGGTTGACAGGAAGTCCTGCTGCCAGGGCCACTGAGATGGGTGTTCCGCCATCAGCAGTCGGCCCCTCTATGGGACAGGAGAGGATTCGGACAGATGGTGTCTTCCTGAGAATGGTGGTTGCAAGCACTCTCCTCAGTTCAAGGAAGAGTAGAAAAGAAACAAAAGTGTTCTCTCTCAGGGCTGCTGAACAGCTCTGGGACAGCTGTGACCTCGTCAGCAAGGTCTGTGCTAAAAAAAAAGTGTGTCAAAGTCTCTACTTTCTCCTGGTCCCTCTAGCTGCACCATCCAACTCAGGAGCAGGAGCCACCAGGGCTGTACATTTAAATGTTGATGCACTAAAATGAAATAAAATGAGAGAATCATCTGCTCAGTCTCTCTAGCCACATTTCAAGTGCTGAGCAACTCTCTCAATGCATAGAGAAAGTGTCTTAGATTCCAGAAAGTTCCACTGGACCATGTTGGATGAGGCAGGAGGCCAGTGTGCCATGAGCTGTGGGTGCTTCTCTTCAGGGAGATGTGAGTTTCTCCAATACTAAAAGAACGTGTTTTCTTTATGGACCTGAAAGAGCCCTTGGCTTTTAGTTGTTTGAAATGCTTTATGCAGTATTAATGGTTCATGTAAAATTGAAAGATGTCAAATTGGAGTAAACTATTCAGCAGTGAGCTTACATTAGTAAGTTTTTAATCAAGTTGAGCAACCGAATGCTAAAAAAGCTGACTGCACTTGGTGGCCTAAGATGAACAAGCTAACAGAGTTGGTGACAGCAAATGCCCCTCCCCTTGATCTCATTGCCATTTTCAAGCAGATCCCTCCCTGATAATAAAAAGAAGTGATTTTTCTTCTTTAGGACAAGGACTTTAAAACAACACTTTTACTGAAGATGGTGTTACAGGGGCGACTTCCTGGCATTAGCAAGGCCCTGTGCGGCTTGGTAAATGTTTGCCTGTAGTGCCATGGAAAGGGACATTTTCACTAGACCTTCAACAGCTGGGTGCCGACCTGGGGGGGGGGGGTCTGAGTGCAGCTTTGCAGCAGTGCCCCCTAATGGTGATGAGTTATCCTGCTTCTGTCTAACTTCCAGAGGTGTTCAGTAGAGCTGATCAGCTTCCTTCAGAGGCAGGAATAGATTATCTAAGAGGAAAGCAAGGTATTTTTTAGGCTATCTTTACATGTTTATAGCTCCTTCAGAACATTAGATGGCCTTGCAGCAGGAATTGTCACCCAGTGCTGTGTCACATAATGTCCTGTAGGTTTGACAGAAAAATCTAAACTTTGAGTGCATAATGAGCCCTCAGGGAGGCCCACGGAATCCCCCAGGTACCTGCTGAGCTCCACTTGGTGAGTGAGGCAGGGCGGTGCCTACTGGGTATGCCCTCCCATTATAGTGCCGTGAAGAACCTCGTCGACAGCAGCGTCTACTTCCGCAGTGTGGAGGGTCTCCTGAAACAGGCCATCAACATCCGGGACCACATGAATGCCGCCACCCAGGGCCACAGGTAGCTCCCAGGACCACAAGCCCCTGCTGCAGTCAGCCTCCTCTCTGTAAGGTCCTTCACCCCTCAGCCAGGATCTGCTGCTTATTGCTCCTTGGACAGCTCGCTTTCCTCATCTCATGGTGTCTGGTGGCTTCCTCTTGTCCTTTGGTGCCTGAGACAGGAGGGGTCAGTTGCTCAGTATCCAGATCCTGAGCTCTGCTATATGCCTGGCCCTGGGATGGGTGCCGGGGACAGAGAGGTGACCGGGACAGGCACATTTGTGGTCTCACAGAGAGACACACAGCAACCAGATACACATGGAACAGACCCAGAGCTTTTCAGACATGTGCAAAGGGAAAAAGGGAATATGGGGCCTCTCTAATGAGTCGGAGGGGTTGCGAGCAGAAGCCTGAAAGACTTGATGATGGAAAGACTCGGGATGATATTCCAAGTGGGACAGTGGTGAGGACAAAGGCCCTGCAGCTGGGGACCGAGGTGTGTTGGAGGAACATCTAGGGGACAGGTGTGGCTGCAGAGGGTGAGTGGGGGGGGTGAGGTCAGGGAGGTGGGCAGCAGGAGGTGCTCCCAGAGCTAGAGGAGGCTTTGAGCTGAAGACCAGATGGTCTAAAAATGAAAGCTCTTACAGTCCTTGCACACTGGGAAGAGAGTTTTGGGGGAAAGAGTGCTTTTTGGTTTTGTTTTCATGATAACTTAATAAATATGCATTTGAACATGCACATACATTCTGTAACTCTACCTTGGGATGTGTCTGGTGCTTACAGCTTGGGGGTCTGGCCTGCCTGTCCTCCACCAGGTATTTAGAAAGAAGACAACCTCTGTGTTGTTCTGTATGAGGACTAAGACAGGAGAATTATCAAAAATGAAAGCCTTGCCCTGACTGGTGTGCCTCAGCGGGTTGGGCATTGTCCTGCCAATCAAAAGATCATGGTTTCCATTCCCTATCAGGGCACATGCTTGAGTTGTGGGCCAGGTCCTGGTTGGGGGCGTTGCAAGATTGATCCATGTTTCTCTTGCATATGGATGTTTCTCTCCCTCTCTTTCTTCCTCCTTTCCCCCTCTCTAAATATAAATAAATAAAATCTTTTTTTAAAAAGCCTTGAGAATTTGTAAAAATGTATGTGCAATAGTTTCCCCTCTGAGGGTAGTGTACAAGAGTTTATCTGGGTTCATTTGCATTAAATAACCACTGGCTTTGGCTGCTGTGCCTTGGGTTTGGTGACAGCATCACTAGAGTTGACTCCACAAAGTGACTGTCACAGTGCCCTGCTTACAGTAGAGCCTCAAAAAAGCAATAGCTTTTACTTTGAACTCATGGTTTCCCAAGTGCTTTCAAATGCCCTGCTTGTGCCTGCTGTTGCAAAAATGCCAAGTGCTTCTGAAAGCCTGAAGGCGCTGCTAGCAGCTCTCTTTGCCAGCCCTGTGGGCTTGAAGTGCAGACATGCATGAGCCCCAAGCGTAACCTCTGAAGCTGGTGGCTGGTCCCATTTTTACAGAGGATGCCCTGTAGGCTCAGGCCAGGGGTCTGGGGAGGGTGACCTGAACACACACTCCAGCCTAGCTGAGCAAGCCTGATGGCCTCTGACCTCAGCTTCATGGCCTCTGACTTCGGCCTCATGGATATTGCCCATGCTTTATTTCAGCCCCCAGGAGTTGCCCCCGCCCTCCTCAGCCTGATCTCAGAAGAGACTCTAAGGGCTTTGGCCCCTCCAACCAGGTCAGTGCTTAATAAAGCAGGGGCCTTTCTGTCCTCCACGCTCTGAACTAACCCACCCTTTAGTTGTCCAAGAAGAGACATGCCATCTAATCCCTCAGGCTTGTAGGATGGTTTGGTCAGTGGGAGGATACGGGGGTGCGGGGGGGGACCTTCTACCCTCTGCTGCTCTGGGTGATTGTCAGCCCATCTCCCTGGTGCTCTCTGCCATCTCCCCTTATTCAGGCCATAGGCGTCCCACATTTCCCTGCCCTGCCATATGCCAGGTGCTGGCTTTACTTACACACCTTCTCTCAGGCAGAGCCCGGCATGACGGTTACCACTCAGCTCTGAACTCTTCGCTCCACTGCTGACCTGCTGTGTGACCCCGAGCAAGTTCCCCCCCTCTCTGCTTTTCTCTTCTGTGGAAGTGACTCAGATGGCAGAGAGGGCACTTCTGCATATGGTGATGTGTAGTGTAGCAGTCAGCTGCTGCATGACAAACTAGCCCAAAAATTAGTGGCTCACAGCACCAATATAATTGCTCGTGATTCTATGATTTGGGCTGGGCTCAGCCGGAGGCCATTTGTGTGGCAGTCAGGGTTCCGTGGGGCCAATAGTCGGAGGTGGCCTCACACATCTGACCTTTGACTGGTGCCATCGGCTGCAGAGGGTCCAGTTCGCAACCTCCATGTAGCCACTCCAGCAGGCCAGCCTGGGCTTCTGGTGGCTGGGCACCAGGAGGGCAGCTCCAGTGCACACAGGCTCTTCCAGCCTCTACTTCACATTTGCAGATGTTATGTTGGCCAAAACCAGCCATATGGCCAGGCTCAGAACCGGATGGTAGAGAACTGCAGGAGGGCATCAGTACTGGGAGGCATGGTTGACCGTGTAAGGAGAACGTGGCCCCAAGACAGCTGTGGTATATTGTTAATTTGTGCTCATGCAGGACAGACCCTGGCCAATCAGAGGTACCCCAGGTACTTACTGAGCCCCTGGCTTGTGAGCTTTTAGAGCCTCTGCTCATCTGTTGTGATGGTGCTCTGTACCATAGGGACCCTCTCTGAGGGTTGTGGATGCATGGACAGGGACCCTGTGGTCCCTAGAGCAGCAGCCCTCAGAGCCAAGAGGGAGCAGAGTTCACACACGTGCAGTCAGGGCACCAGTCAAATGCCAGGCTTAGCTCTGGGCCTGGGGGTGGTGAGCAGTCCCACAGGGTGTGGGATTGCTGGGAGGATATCTGGGAGGGGCTGCTGAGGTGTCTCCTGGTCCCAACCCCTAAGCCTTGGTCCCTCCCACACTTAACACGTCACGGATACTGCCCTGCTGCACTCCCTACACCCTCGGTAGTCTGCTGTCCCTCTGCTGCTGTGCCCCTGCTGAGCAAAAGGCTCGATGCTCCTCCTGGTTCTACCTTTGTCCCTACAGACCCTACTCTGCTCTTCCCCAGAATTGCCACCCAAATTCTTCTCTCAGAGCCTCCATTCCCACTATGCCCCCCACCAAGCTGCTCCCCCTGGGGTCATTGGTGACTTTCAAGGGGTCAAGTCTCAGCCTCCCCCAGCCTCTTTCTTCATTTGCCTCTCCCAGGGTCCTACATACATCTCTGAATTTTACCGAAGAGGAAACAGGCTCGGATGGGCAAGGCAGGGTCACCACTCATGACTGAAAGTGCAGAGTTACACCAAGATGTCCAGTGTCCCGGGGCTTCTCCTCTTCCCTTTCCCCTGTCAGGCCCCTGCCTCAGGTATCACCTTACTGAGATCACCCTGAAGCCCCGGGGGCCTCTCAGACCTCCTTGTCCTCACCCTTGTCCCTCCTCCCTAAGTTGGACACCCCAGTGTTGGACCCTTGGACACAACCTTGTGAGACCTATAAAGGACCACAGACTGAGCAAGCGTGGCCAGCACAGTCCTCTCACTCCTGCCCCTAGCCTCCTGAGACAAGGTATTGTCCTTGGACTCCTACCCCACATTAGCCATGTCCCCTCGGACCAATAACTTCTACTGTGTTAATCCCCATTGACTACTCTGTGCTTGCGGCTTTGCCACAGTCTTCTTTTATATTTAAACAGCCTTATAAGGTGGGTATCACCCTCAAATACAGATGGGAAAAGAGAGGCTCCTAGGGGTGTATGACTTGTACAAGGTCACACAGCCAGAGGAAGCAACCCCCTGCCTGGTTTGGTCCCAGTCTGCCTCTGACATGCTGTGTGACATGGGGCCTAGAACTGGCCCTCTCTGGTCCTCCATTTCTCCATATGGACAAGGAAGGCTGGACAGGACCTTCTCTGCAGGCTATGGTGGACAGTCATGTACATGCCTGTCTGGCCTCCATTCTGCCTCAAGCAGAAATGCCCATCCTGGGCTTAGGCCATATGGTGAAGCTACCATGGGACCCTGGATCCAGCTGTACCTGACCTAATTCCTAAATTACTGTATTTGCTAAAATTGCTTTGAGTCTATGTCTGCTAACTACAGAAGAGCCCACACTGCTGTCTTTGAATTCTAGGCCTGGGAAGCCATGACCTATGGTCTGTACACCCCCAAGGCCAGCTGGGTGCCAACAGTGTTCTGCAGAATGTGTCAGGAAGATCAGAATGGAGTGGTTTGGGGTCCCAGACCCACTGCTCTGGAAGGATCTCTCCATACTTCCCTTAGCACCTTAACACCTGTGGGTGGTTGGGAGAGAAGGGTGGCAAGGGCCATGGAAAACCTAGGGCAGAGACAGGGGGTTCTGGTGGGATATCAGGGCTGTGGAAGACCCTGAGGGCCTGGGAGAGGGTTCAAGGACACAGGAGGTGTTAAGGAAGAACTGCCTCCCACTACCAGGAATGGGAGTCAGTCCTGTCTTTCCCCTCCTAGGTGTACTGGGCGGGCCCTGTTGCCCCAGCTCAGTTTGAGGTCCATCCCATTGATGCCCTGACTGGTGTGTGGCCCCTACAGTCACTCTTCTTGCCTACTCTGACAGTGCTTCACATTGTCTCTCCTTCCGCCTGTCCATCATGCAGTCATTTATCTAGGAAATATTGACTGCCCTCTGTGTGCCAGGCCCTGCCTGCCCAGAAGATGCCCTAGTGAGCAAGCCAGGGCAGCCCTGGCCGCAGGGTTTAGACCCGCGGGACAGAAAGGCAGCTAAGTGAGGTAACTGCACATATCCCAAGGATGCTGTGGGGTAATAGGGGTCAGCTGTGGGGTGGCTCAGACCTTTCGAGGGCCCCACACCACCCACAGCTCCTGGACACAACCTTGGCCAGAGACTAACAGTCCTCTCAAAGAGTGCTGTGCAGGATTCTGGCCAGTCAGATCTCCCAGAGTCCAAGAGCCCGCAGGAGAAGGGGGTGGGGGAAAGCCTGGTAATTTGCATGATCATCCCGCCCCTTCTACACTCATAAACGCCCCATCCTTGCCCGTCACCAGAGGGCGCAAGAGGCAAAGGCTTGGCCAGGCACTCGGCTTCCAAAGGGTCTAGGTCAGAGGGCCTGGCTCATTGCTATGGATGACGCGTTGTGACCCTTAGCCTTTTTTCTCGTTATGTCCTCAATTCCATTTTTTAGAGAGCCAACTAAATCTCCTTGAGGCTGGACTACTCATCAAGATCTTACATCTGTCCCCACGTGCTCTAGACGCGCTGGAGGTCTCCCTCCTTAAAGGGTAAGATGTTCCTACTCAGTAGGACTTGCTCCCAACTGAGACCCAGAGATAAGGAGAGCAACTGGGAAAGAAGCAGTGAGCTCCCCGTGCCTCGCTCGCTCGGGGCAGGAGTCTAGCACCTATGAGTGCGAGGGGGATCTGGAAAGGATCCCAGCCTGGTGAAGTGTGGCTTCTCCACCCAGTCCCACTTTGGCCCCACCCAAGTCTCCTTCAGATCTGTGGATAGGGTAAAAGGAGGCCCAGGAAGGCAGCAATGCCCCAACTTGGGCCACAGTGGTCAAGGTGGGACTTGGACTTGAGTTTGGCTCTTTGTCCTTATCCCCTAATCCAAGTCATGGTTTTATTTCAGTTCTGCTCTGAGGATCCTGCCCCTGGTACATCCCTTCCCAGCTCTGCCATATTCCCCGGTGAGGCCTCTGAATGCCCCAAACTTGGTCCCAATGCTCCTCCACCACTCATACCCTCTCTCAGGCTCTCCAGTTCTGCAAGAAACCCACAGAGATGCCCCTTTGGTGCTGCCACACACTGGGCCTGGCCCCAAGGAACCCTCCGGCTGGAGGAAACAGCTGCACACAGACATCCCAAACCACTGGGTCCTTTAACTGAAGGCCCCACCTGCTGGACCACACTATCCTTGCCATGGAGAATCTTTCAAAACCTTCCTCTGCTTGACATATGGGAGAGAATCTGGAAGAAGGGGACTTGGGAGAGGTGACTTCACCCCCCACCCCCCCACACCTGTCTCCCCCATCTTCAGATCCCTCCCCCTGACCCTCTTCACCCATTTCTCCTCACAACCCTCCCCTCCACCCTCCAACATCTTATTCCAGTAACTGAGGTGTCTCCTCATCTGAGAAGACTGAGGTTGAGAATCTTGACTCCCAGTGGCAGACCGGGGGGTCCACAAACAGCGACACAGCCAGTGATGGGGAGAGCACAGGAGGAGAGTATAGGATAGGAACAGAGGCAAGGGGAAAAGGAGGGGCCATTATAGGAAACAGGATGTGAATGATAGAAGATGGGATGGGGGCACAGGAACAAAGGAGGGGGCCCCAGTAATGGCAGGGGGCAGGAGGTGGGTCCCACCCTTCCCACCATGCCCCTGCTGCTCCCAGAGCTGCTCCAGCTGCTGCTCTTATGTAACCAGAGCCTGTCTGTTGCATCAGAGACAGCAGGCTGCCGCAGGTAAACAGAGTGGCCCTCGGGGGGCCTGGGGCTCCCCAGCCACTTCCACACTCCCCAAGCCTTGTTCTGAACCTTGGAGTCAAAGCAGAAGCCCCCCAGACTGGCCTGGGCCCCAGTGTGTCCTTGGGAAACCTGAGTATCTGTCATTGGACACTGAAGTGCAGTGGTGGCAGGGGTGGGGGAGGCAGAGCCCCTGGTCCCCACCTTATGGCACAGCATGAGCCCTGGGTTTATGCCCAAGGAGAAATCTGTGCCCAGCCTAGGAGTCCAAACTGCCCATGTCACAGATGGGTAAAGTGAGCCATAGGAGGAAGTACAAGCCTGTTCCCTGCCTTAGTGTCCCCCACATATGATACCGCCACATGCTCACCCCTGAGTACAGAGGTACATCCATCTGCTTTCTGCTCAGAAGGTGGACACAAGGCTGCCATGTAACCTACCTGCATCCCACCTTCATCTGCCCAAAACTGACCACTTCCTCTTCATCTCCCAGCCTCTTCCTGGGCTCCCAGCCACATCTGCTTCTGCTCCGGTTTCATCTTCCTCATCTTTCCCACCAAAGAACACTCTGCTCTCTTTCTCTGCACCTTTGCGAAGGCTGTTCCCCCCTTGGAAAACACTTCAAGGCACAGTACAAATTATCCCCTTTTCTGGGAAGTCCTTCCCGACATCTCTGGCCCAGTCCTGACTCCAAGGGGCTGGAGGAGTGTGTGGCAGCTGTTCTGCCTCCTCCAAACTGGGGGCTTCTCCGGGATCACCGAGTCCAACATTATCTTCATCCTGTAATTCTTTTCACATTGATCCACTCACCTCTGACACTCCTCCGGGCCTGGCTGGGTAGTGCTGGGATCCCAGGGAAGATGTGGATTTAGAGGCCTGGGCTGGGGCCCAGTCCTAGAAGCCCCCATTGGCTGCCCTTTGAATTGGAGGAGAGTGCCCAGCAGTTGAGGGTCTGTCACCCATCTGCAGATGGACGAGGTCACACAAATGACTCCAGAACCACTTTCTGTAGTCCCTCCTTTTGGGTGAGAGCAAGGGTCAATGTCGGCTTTGAGAAAGGCTCTGTTACTGGGGCCACCAGGGACTGATTTATATTTTACTCAGGATGAAGTAAGTCTAGTGTTGGGGCTGGCTGTGATTAAAGACAGGGTCTGAATTAGGGTCAGAATCACAGTAGGGTCAAGGGAACCCAGTGCAGGCGGGGAAAGTCTGGCAGGTCTGTTCCAACCCCTTCCCCCTCCCTCTCCCTCCTTACCCGCAGCTCCACCGTGTCCTTCCCAGTCTGCGTCCGGGTCCCGAGGCGGGGCCACGCCCAAGTGCCCGCCCTCTATGCAAATGTATCATCCCGCCCAATCAGCTCCTGGGGGCAGGGCCGCGGCTTTCAAGGCACCTGTGGCCGCGGAGTACTGGGCGCTCTGCGAGGCTGCTGCAGTTTCGTGCGCTCGTCCTAGGGTCCAGGCGGACAGAGCAGGTGCGTGTGGCGTCGGGACCAGGCTCGTGCGGTGTCCTTTGAATGTCATCTGTGGTGGGCTGGGCTGCTTTTGGAGGTCTGAGTCTGCTGCTGTGCATCGAAAGTTCTGTCTAACCGGTATGCGTCCTGGGATTGTGAGTCCAAGGAGTTGTGTGTCCAAAGGGTATGAGTGAGTCGGAAGTGTGTGAATCCAAGGGGTGTGAGCCTGAAGAGCAGGGTATGTCGGAGGGGTTGTGAGTCCCAGGGTTGTGTTTCTGAGAGGTCGTGTGTCCAAGAGGCATGTGTCTGAGGATTTCGATGTCAGCTGAGGAGGAGCTGTGTGTCCAAAGTTGGGGTGCCAGACTCCCTGTCATGTGTCTGTGACCTGTGTGTTTGGTCTGTGGGCTGCAGTGTCCTCCTCTCCCGAAGCATACCCCTTTTTGTACCCTTGAGGCTCCTGTGCACAACCACAACCCCATGCCTTCCTGCTGTGGGTGCACCCTCATGTGTCACGGCCCCAGAGCCAAGTGTGGTGTGACCATCTCTGTGTGCCTGTGACTGCTATGACCCTCACCTGCTCCATGTAGTCTACGCCTCATGCAACAAAAGTGGGGCCTCTGCTGGACCCACAGGGTGCCCATGGGGTAGGCACGGAGCCCTGAGGTGGTGGGTCACAGCTCCTTTAAGGGGGGCTACCACTTTCCTTGTGCCTGAGTGTCCCCGTGGGGGACATGGGTATAGGAACAATACTCACCACCTGACAAACTTGTGGTTCTTACTTTCATGGTAATGGTTCCCCTCTCTCCACCTTTCTCAGATATTGGTCAGCAACTGGGGTCCCTGGTCACCCCCAACCCCCAACTGCAGACTTGAGAAGTCAGAATTAGCTGAGGGCTCCTTGCCTAGCCTGACTGAGAAATCCTCCCTGGGGGGTGTCGGGACCTGTGGCTCTTTGGCATCCGGGTACAAGAACTCTAAGACTCTTAGGGTAAAGGAACTCGGTTCCAAAACAGTATTTAGACTCAGAAGGACTGGTGTGTGGGGTTTGAAGTCAGACCCACCCTCTCCTGTCCCATGCCTGCCTCCTATCATCTGTTTGAGCTGAGGAGTGAACCTTGGCTTATAGGGAATGACATTTCTGGATATTCAGGGCCCTGGGGTCTCACCCAGGAGAGCTGGAAGCTGATTATTTGATCTGAAGTCCCCACTTTGCAGGAGGAAGGACTGAGGCCAGGTACAGACACCCAGGCATCTCAGAGAAAGGATGGAACACAAGATGGACCCCCAGACCTTGAGAGAAGAAAAGCTAGGAGTGAGGGGCTCCAGCTCTCTGTGTGACCTCAGACAGGTGGCTACTCCTCTCTGAGCTCTGTTGCTGCCCCTGTGCCCTGGCATTTAAGCTCCATCTTACCTCCCTCCCATCTCTGATGACCCAACCAGGTAGATATCTGAAAAATAGAAATTAAGAGGAAAAAGGAAATTAAAATAATTTATAACTTCAACTCAGATGCAATGAATATAGACATGTTGGGGGTTTGGATTTCTGGAAGATTTGAAGCACATGCATCTGGAGATAAATGTGACTTTTCAGAGAGCGTTTATCATACACCTGGGATCCCATTTGGGGTGAGAGAGCTCGCCGCAGCCCAGTCCATGAGGTATACACAGAGGTTGGGTCCCGTTTCTGAGCTCCCAAAAGTATCTCTCTGGGTGTGTATCACGGGGATTTGTGAGGCTGCCCCGTCACCCCAGGCTCAGGAACAAGTGTCTCAGACCACAGTGGTGCCCAGGCTCACTTTCCAGATGGGGTGGCCACAGGACAACCCTGTGGTACAAGCCCAGGCTTGGGTAGGGATCTGAAAGGTCTTGCCCCGTGGCCTTTACACTGGGAAGAAGCCCGCTTCCTCCTGTGTAAAACAGGGTGGCTACCTCCATTTCACTGGGTTGTTTGTGGGTCAGGTGGGCCTGTGTATAAATGAGGTGGTGCGTGGGCCCAGGCATGAGGTGCCTAAGAGCCCCATCCAGATCCACCCCATCCAGGTCCACCCCACCCACCCCACTCTCCGCCAAGGGCCAGAGACCTCAGGTCCAATGGCTTCACTGGCCTGTTCTCCAGGCTCAGCTTCACCCAAGGTCAAGGTGGGGACCTTAGAAGGGAATAATCAAGACTGGTTGGCACAATGAACCACAGCTGTAGGCACAGGACTGTGTTGTCCACTTTCCACACCCACAGCCCTCCCTGTCTCTGATGGATGCTGTCCTGGCCTCCCGCCACACAAGGCTCCTCCCCACTGCAGCCACTTGTTCTGCTGGAAATCCTGAATCAGACTGCAGCACTCCCCTCCTCACACACCCTTCACGGCTCCCCATTGCTCTATCGTCCACCCTCCTACCCTGATCCCCCAGGCCCCTTGCAGCCTCCATGCCCTCTTTGGTCTCCATCTGCCCCTCACTCGCCCTGTCCCAGCCACACCAGCTTCCCCTGCACCTGGAACCTGTTTAGCACATTCCCACTCAGGACCTTTGTACCTACCATTCCTTCCACAAAGCAGTCTGTCCCCCACAGACCTACATGGCTGGTGTCCTCTCATCCTTGAGCCTCCCTCCTTTTCAGAAAAACCCTTCTGGCCCCTCTGTTCAAAGCAGCTCCTACCAGCACCACCCACTGCCTCTCCCTGTTGAATTTCTTTCTTGAAGACCTCCGTCCCTGACACAGTTGTATGTCTGTTCCTACCTCCCCCACAAGACTCAGCAATGGAGGAGGCCAGGCTGAATCTGTCCTCTCCCTACCCTTGTGTCCCCTGGCACCTGGTGGGCTCTCAGACATTTATGGGAATAGAATGGGGCCCAGGGATGTCCCAAGGCCCTGTCTTGGAGTCCCTGCTGACTATGTCTTGAGTCTGTGGGGCTGTGGGCTGAATCCCTTCTGCCCAGCACTGACAGATGTGCTAATTTCCCAGGCAGGGAGGCCTGGGCCTCTGGGGATGAATTTCCGGGGCCCCACGGGGAGCTCTTTCTCTGGAACAAAGAGGGAAAATTTGGGCTGTTCCTGCAGCTGCAGTGCGGCTTTGGGGACCTTGCTGGGGGCCTTGGGTGGCCCTGGGCTCCAATCTGCCTCGGACAGCAGCGTTGGGTTCTGAATGTAGAGTCTCTCTGGCCCCAGGAGTCAGGATGCTGAGTCCCTCAGGAGATTGGATGGGGCAGCAGGCCTCCATTTGCATTGTCTGTGACAGAGAAGCCGGCTCAGTGTCAGGTGAGCATGTGCTAAGCGGGGCCTGCACGTCCTTGGGACATGGTTTCTTCCGATGTGGCCGTGGGACCTTAGCAGGGTCAGTCAGTCCCTTGGCCTGAGACCCAGTAGGCTGCTGTTCTGTGCTGTTGGCTCTTCAGAGCAGGGATTTCAAACTGGCGGCCTGTGGGCCAGATGGGAGCCTCAAATGTGTTTTGTGGGTCACAAGGTGTTTAAAAGAAAACTGAAACAGTTGCCAAAGTTTCTCCCATTTGCTAAGTCAGTGTTTGCTCATTCATTTGGGAAGGGTGACGGGGGCCTGCTGCATGCCCCGTACAAGGAGGCCATCCTTGCCCTCACAGAGTAGAAGTCCTCACGGGGCGGGGGACACTATCGTTGAAGAAGGCAACGAAGAAGCACGCAAGTATCCATTCGGGCTAAGTGCTGCAGGGAGAGAGGGATCCTGCCCCGGGAAACTGGTGCTTCCAGAAGCAGGGGTCTCTGCTGGGCCTCAGAGGACAGCTACTCAGACCTGGGCATTCCAGGGGGAGGGCGCAGCCCGGGCTCTGGGAAAGCGGAAGGGCTATCTGGGGTTGGTGTGTCAGGTGCCCGGAAAGGGACAGAGGTGGTTTGAGAATGTGCTGGCGCTGGAGGCCTCCCCAAGAGTAGGAACAAGGTGTAGGAGTAGCTCACGGGGGCCCGTTGTACAAACAGGGAAACTGAGTCTTGGAGCACTTCAGGCAATGAGTGTGTGGTAGAGCCAGGATTTGAACCCTGGTCTGGCCAGGTGCGCAGCTGCAGCCTGCGCCTCTCACTGCACGGCCACAGTGGGCCCTCCAGGGAGCAGGCCTGGGGAGTGGTCTGTGAAGGTGAGTCCCCATGGCCGTCAGTGGCCCCACGGGTTCCAGAGGGAAGTAGGGACAAAGGGACCCCCCAAGGGGTCTTCTCCATCTGGAACATTCTGGCCTTCTGGAATTCAGAGCTGCGCATGGTGCTACGTCCTACCCCCAGACCCCCCACTCTCTCGGGGTGCCGACTGTCTTGCCTCAGGCAGCCAGAGCCAGCCAGACGGTGGGTGACGCCACTGCAGGGACGAGGCCCGACCTGAGTCCGGGGGCCTGCACATAATGGGGGACCAGCGTGGAGGCGGCATGTGTCTGGGGAGCTCCGAGGGTCTGCATGTTGTTGGGGGGTCTGGTGTGTTTCGGGGTATTTGCATGTATTTGGAGGTCTGTGTGCCTTTGAGGGATTGGCATGTGCTGGAGGCATGATGTCTATGTGTGTTGGGGGATCTGTGTTTGGGGGCTGTGGGATTTGTAGAGCTGTGTGGTTTTGGGGGGTACACATGTATTGCAGACTGCACGTTTGGGGATATTTTGTATGCAGAATCCACATGAGTTTGGGTAACACATGTTTCTGGGGAATCTGTGTATTTTAGGCACCTGTGGATTTCTGTTTGGGGGGCACTTGGGGCTCTGCATGTGTTTAGGGGAATCTTCCTACCCCTGCTCCATCGGTCCGTCTGAAGAATAGGCCTTCTCCCTACCCGCTGTTTCCCAGCCTTCTTCCATCTGCCTGGGGCCCTCACTCTGGGCCGCGTGCCCTCGCTTCCTGCCAAAGAGCAGCGATCCAAGGGCAGGGCCCGGTGACAGGGGAAGAAGAAAAATAGCGTCTGTAGAGCACCTACATCTGAAGCCCCCCTCAACTCAGGCACCCCTGACTCCCCATTTTCCAGGAGACAAAACTAAGGCCCCAGAGTATTTTGGCCACAAGAGAGGCACTGCTGGAGCCC